TCAGAGGGAGAAGCAGACTCCCTGCTGAGCAGGGAGCCCGATGTGGGACTCCATCCCAGGACTCCAGGATCATGACCTGAGCCGAAGGCAGTTGCTTAACCAACTGAGCCACCCAGGCGCCCAAGACAGATCTCATTTTATAGATGAAGGTAAAAAGGTTATATTTTCTGGTGATTTTTTAGGTCAGTATTAGGTAAAAAGACCTGTTTTGAGCTGAAGTGACTCTGGAAGAATTTGGCAAAATTCTCTGTTGTTTACAAGGCCTGAGGTATGAACAGGCTGCCATAGTAATATTCCATTTTATGCAGACTTGTTTCTTAAAATTTTTTAGTGCAACCTAACTATTTTCTTAATTTTTAAGGGTGCCTTTAGTCGTCTTGACCCAACCGGAACATTTGAGAAAGAAGTGATTGCTAGAATTCCTTGTGGTCGGCTAGGAACTGTGGAAGAACTTGCAAATCTTGCTGCTTTCCTTTGTAGTGATTATGCTTCTTGGATTAATGGGGCAGTAAGTATTGTTTTCTCTTGACTTTTTGGGGAGGTGGATTTGGGGTGAGAAGGCATTTTGTGGAACCATTCCTGACAATATTGAATATAAATATGATTTAAAATATTTTTTAGGCTGTAAATAATATAAAAATATTAATATAGATTGTTTAGGCTATGGAATTTGTTCATTGATAAATTAATTTTATCAAATGCCAATTACTCTGGTAGACATGCCAGATGATCTTTAATATTGGGTAGAATTTGAAATTGTGGAGATGGGGGAAAGAGGATTCTAAAATGAGTAAATCAGATTAGGTTTAATCATGACTTTTCTTTTCAGACTTTGGGTTTTGATTGAAAGTGCCAAGGAGATGTTCTAGTCAATTAAGATGGGAAAATGGCTAATGGTTCAGAAACTTTTTAAAAGGAGTTAGTTTCAGAGTTGTTTTTGTTTTTGTTTTTTTTTTCCAGGTCATTAGATTTGATGGTGGAGAGGAAGTATTTATTTCAGGGGAATTCAACAGTCTGAGGAAGGTAATACCATTTTATGAATATAATATAATATTAGCAGCTAAGATACCAAGCTTTAAAAATATGCAAGAACCATATAAAATTGCCTTTTTCTGTTTGTGTTAGGTTACCAAGGAGCAGTGGGACATAATGGAAGGACTCATCAGGAAGACAAAAGGCTCCTAAGACCACTCTGGCCTTCATCTTGGTTACAATGGAAATGATACAATCTATGATCTTTTGAATTATTTTCAAGTCTAATAAATTGTTAATTAACAAACATGGACTGAGTATGTATCACGTGCCAGGCCAGTGGTAGTTAGACATTGTATATTAAGAGATACGTAGGATGGGATATTTTCCCTTCAAAATTTTTTTTAAGAATTAAAAAAAAAAAGGCAAGTAAGAGAAGGCTTTGGTAGAGGTAAAATGCTTGGAAGTGCAGTGAAAGAAGCAGATATTATAACCTGGAAAAATCAGGAGAATCTTAATTGTGGAAGTAGCATTGAGTTATGTATTAAACCATGCCTATGGTTATGGGGCCTAAAAAAAAAAAAAAGAAGAAGTAGAAGGTATGCAGTAAATTTAATGGACTCTGCCTTTCCATTATATTTCCTTTTCACTGAACTTGTGAATTATCTTCTTTAGAGAGCTCAATATTAATTCAAACAAACTTTTGCCGGGGCCTATTTTATAGCCTGGCATTTTATTTGGTACTGAGGATACAACATGAACCATCTACAGCCTTTGCCTTCTTAAAACATTATCTAGAAGGATAGAGAGACCTATAATTATTTGCGATGCAATGTGATAAAAAATATTATTCCAGCAGTGTAAAAGTGTGAAGGAGGAAGTAATTCATTCAGTCTCCAGAGTGTAGAGAAAATGACACTTAGGAGATCTCATTCCATCTCAGCTTTAAAAGAGGAGTAGATTTCTCTAGGTAGAGAAACTGAACAAGCTTATAAAATATATTTGTGTATAATTTCATATCATTTCATATTTGGTTTGACTATTTTATCATCCCAAGAATCAAATAATAAACCCACAGTCTCAAATGTATAAAGCTATAATTTTGAGCTTATATTAAAAAAAAGGTCTATTTTGCCTTCACAGGAATCACTCATAAACATGCTCACTAGACTGTCTCCATTGCTCAAATTACCAAGAGAGGGGACCAACTTCCATCTTAGCTCCTTTGAATAGATCTGCAAAGGAATCTAGTTTTCCTGTTTGACTATATATGCTGTGAGCCCCATATGGAAACACTTAACTACATTCAGAGTTAATTGTGTACATAATTTACATTAAATTGTGTATATAAATAGGTAATGTTGTAGGTTTGCAATAAGTGGCCTTGACATTCTCAATCATACTGGGCTTTTTAAACACATTTTTCTTCTATTAATCATCTCTTAGTGTTTGCTTCATTATTGTATATATATATATTTTAGTATTTTTATTTTTTTTAAAGATTTATTTATTTAGGAGAGAGAGAGCAAGGGTGAGGGGTAGGGAGAGAGGGAGAGAGAAACTTTAGCAGACTTCCTCGCTGAGTGTGGATCCTAGGACCCTGTGATCAGGACCTGAGCTGAAACCAAGAGTGGGACACTTAACCAACTGCATCACCCAGGTGCCCACTCATTGTTATATTCTATTACAAATGGTGAATGAGGAAGAAAAACTTGTAAGCATGGAAGAGAAAGCTAGGAAAGAGAAATTATGAGCATATCAATTGATTGAAATTTCTTCCTAAGAAAGAAATGTTTTTAGGAAGTCTGAATGAGACATTATTGATGAATAGTCACTATATTTAATGATATACCTTGGGGCTATAACCATATCAATGTTTCACCTTAAGAATTGTTACTTTGCATAAGAATAAAAAAAATAAAAAAAAAGAATTGTTACTTTGTCATTTTACTTAGTATCTTCTTGAAGGGTCTTGCTTCCAATACCTAATGGAAGAGTTAGTACTCAGTAAATTAAAGTGAGGACGGTTGGTAGCAATATCACCAATCTTACAATTAATAAATGAAAACACCTCCAGGAAATGTTTCAGGCATGCAGTAACAGTTGTTAATATATTGTTCTTGTGCAAAAAACTAAAGCAGCAAGAATTTAAGTGACTTTGAATAATAGAATTTAGAGCTGGGAAACCTTAGAAGATACGCCTTAACCACTTCATTTTATAATTGAGGAAACTGAGAGCTCAGCGAAGTTTTGACTTGCCTAAGGTCACTCAATTAGTCAAGGTTGTTTCCTTCCCAATTCGACTATTTCTTGGGATCATAATTTAAAACCAAGAGGCAATAACAGGGTCTTTATGAGATATAGCTCTATTGCAAAGGACTTCAAGGGGAAAAGCTTAGAAATTTATTTTGTTCTTGATCAATTTTATTATTTTGTTTATTGGACATAAAACTGTTTATTAGGCTTTCATAAATTCATTCTCAACTTCAATCCCTTTAACTTGAATTTTCTTCTGAAGCCTTACATTTCTCAACTGTGAGGTAAAATTATCCTTGTTTGGAGACAGAATAAATGACGCTTAGTATAAAATCTCAGTTTACCCTGGCTGCAGAGGAGCTCTTGCCTGCTCTGCCTCAAACGTGCTCTCCCCTGAACCCAGGCTCTGCCACGGCAGCTTTCTTTCTGTTCCTTGGGGTTTTTTGACCTAGAACCTTTGCACTAGCTACTTCTTTGTTGTAGGAATGTGCTTTTCCTGATCTTTGGAGAGCTGGCTTCTTCAGAGAGGCTTCCCTAAATTCCTGCTCACGCACCATTAATTTTTTAAAACTTTTTATTTGATGTATGACTTCTTAATGGACACAATTCATGAATTATCACAAAATGAATACACTTGTGTAACCACCACCCAGCTGAAAAACAAAACCACTAGGAATCCAGAAGCCTTGCTTGTCTCCCATTGTGACTTCCCTTCTATGAAACTAGTCACTATCTTGACTTCTAACACCACAGCTAAGCTACTTTTGTTTATATAAGTAGAATCACACACTATGTATTCTTCTGTTTTTGGTTTTTACCTGTGTACCAATTGTTTATGTGCATTCTCGCTACTTAACATTCCGTTGCATGAATATACCACAACTTATATATTAGTTCTGCTATTGGAGATATTTGGGTTTCTAGTTTGCAGCTATGCCAAATACAATGATACTGTAAACATTCTTTTTTTTTTTTTTTGATGACAATACAGACCTTTCTCTGTCAGGTTGATAAAACCTAAAAGTGAAATTGCTGGGTTATAAGGTGTGTGTATATATTCAAATTTGGTAGATACTGCCAAAGTGCTTTCCAAAATTATCTCGATTTAACTTTTCACTCAGCAGTAAGAATTTCCATTGTGCCACATCCTCACCAATACTTAGCATTCGATATCTCTTTAATTTTAACCTTTCTGATGAGTGCATGGCAGTATCCCATTTGTTTTAATTTGCATTTCTCCTGAGTACTAATAAAGTTGATTGCTTTTACTTATTTTGGCTATTTAGAGATCTTTTTTATTTGTAAAATGCCTACTCAACTTTCTTTTTTATTTAAAGATTTTATTTATTTGACAGAGAGACACAGCAAGAGAGGGAACACAAGCAGGGGGAGTGGGAGAGGGAGAAGCAGGCTTCCCGCTGAGCAGGGAGCCCGATGTGGGGCTCGATCTCAGGACCCTGGGATCATGACCTGAGCTGAAGGCAGATGCTTAACGACTGAGCCACCCACGCGCCCCGCCTGTTCAACTTTCTTACACATGTATTGGGTTATGCTTTTTAAAATTTATTTTTGGAGTAATGTTTGTATATCTCTGGATATGTACCTTTGTCAATTCTATGTGTTACAAATTGTTGGAGGAGGTCATCAAGACGACATGACCGCTGGTTGACCCGAGAGCTGCACCTGGGGAATCAGAGGCTTCTCACCCCTCCCCCACCCTTGGAATGTTGGTTCCACGTGCCCTCCATTTCCAGCTGGAGCGGTATTCAAGGACGCAGCTGGAGACAGCAATGCGTAGTTGAAACCACCTGGATGGTATACACGTGACTGAAGCCAGTTAAGGCCTCTATATAAGCTTTAAGATGCCGGTGGCGGGTGTGGGCATTTAGTTGTGGGGCTGCCCAAGACAAACCTCCTAAGTAAGTTCCCTAGCTTCTTAATCTGGTATCTCTAATTTGGAGTGGCCTGCTTCTTTCTTCAGTCTCTCCTTGCCCTCCGCCTATGGGGAAAAATTTCAGATTTCACCTGGAAAACTCCCGAGGTTTTTCGCCAACCCACATATCTTCTCACATTCTCATGTTTGATTTTTCATTTTCTTAGTAGTGACTTTTTGGGGACTAGAGTTCTTAAGTTTTTCCAACATATTTTTTCATAAGTTGTTGTTAAGGAATCCAATTTTTCAATCTGTTTTCTTTTTTTTTTCTTATAATTGGTTGTTAAGGAATCTTTCCATGCATGAGGGATGGGAGATATCCTAATACGTTGTTGTCTGCATACCTTTTGCATTTGGATTGATAATATACCTGCAATTAATTTTGCTTGTGATATGAGGTAGGTATGTATGAGCTATTTGTCCTGTCAGATTCATTTTCCACTCTTTGTTTTCTGCTCCAGGAGGCAGGCCTTCACTTAAAGGTAAGTGTGACTGATTTAGCTGAGTTGTAAGAATTTCTTTCCCTGATAGTGCTCGGGAGTTAAAGTTCACCATAATAGGCCAGGTGCTGGATTCATGACCATTATTATTATTGGCTCTCTACGAAGTCCCCCAGATACACTCCCTCTCAGACTTTCTGTAGCTGTTGTTTTTCTTTCTTTCTTGGTGCTACAATTTTAAGAGTGCCAAACCTCTTATTTTGGTGTATACTTCATAATGAACAGGCATGTCATCTGTAATGAACAGATGAATGTAGAAAATCTGTGTATCCCTCCTACTTCTTTGGAGAAAATCTTTCACAAAGAACTATTTGATCATGTCAGTTGGGCAAGGAACTCCCCAATGCTTGGATTTTTTTGAGGTTTCTTTGTAAATCTTGATGTCAGAGGCTCCTGTTAAGGCATCCAATAATTCGCTTAATCAGGCAGATTGACATTTATTTAGATTTCTTAGGCCATAATAACTTGAGCATCTTACATTTTCACCTGGATTGATTACCGGTACATGTCAACTGACTTTTTGAGGAAGAAACAAAAATACAAGAGATTAAAGTATTTTCCTCTTTATTTATTCTTCGTTAAATTCAACCTAAGGTCAGTGCTTCCATCTACACACTAGA